TATATATATATATATATAATGTTTTCTTTGAGGTACATTGTTCAAAATAATAACATAAGAAATTTAGAAATAAGAATTTTGGGAAATTGAAGGAAATATAAGAAAAATTGAAAAATGTTACATTTTAGTGAAAAAATTATTTCAGGTTTATTATTTTCAGTTAGATTTTGAATCACAGATTTTTTGTTGTCTCAGACTTATGACCCCACTTTATACTTTAATATTATTATTAATATAATAGAAATATCATGGTTACTTAATGGATTATAATCAATAAATCAATGCTCAGTTTTTCAGAATTCTGAATGGCTACAAAATCTACTATAAGCTGCTCCTGACAGGAACCCCTTTGCAGAACAATCTCGAAGAGCTTTTTCACCTGCTCAACTTTCTCACCCCAGAGCGCTTCAAGTAAGATTGCAGACTGCATGATTCACCTGGTGATTCATACTGTAGATCCGCTCGTAGAATAATGATCCCCCGCAGAGCGATTACGGGGCTTAGATTGGAATATGTTTTTCATATGATTTGATGGAAGTGAATTCTATCTCCCCTTATATCCAAATGAAAATGTTGTTGTGCGCAGTAACCTGGAGGGCTTTCTGGAGGAGTTTGCGGACATCTCGAAAGAGGACCAGATTAAGAAACTACACGACCTGCTGGGGCCACACATGCTCAGGAGACTGAAGGCAGATGTGTTTAAAAACATGCCGTCAAAAACTGAGCTTATAGTGCGAGTAGAGCTCAGCCCAATGCAGAAGTCAGTCTTAAATTCTCTGTTCCTAATGCTAAATTATTGAATAAACATCAATTTATTATCACTCAGTATCATATTTCATTGTTTCCCATGCAAGATAATTTCATGTTTTTTTCTCTCTCACAGGAAATACTACAAGTTCATTTTAACACGGAACTTTGAGGCATTGAATTCCAAGGGAGGAGGGAACCAGGTGTCTCTTCTTAACATCATGATGGACTTGAAGAAATGCTGCAATCATCCCTACCTGTTTCCAGTGGCTGCAATGGTGAGGAGGGGAGGGGAGGAGAACATATGGAGGCCCACAGTTTATATCACTGCAGTGGTTTGTTGTTAGCACATGTAATGGCAATACATTTTCTGTTTTATAAGATCTATTTAAAGACTTGTAAGAGAGTGTATTGTTTCTTATGTCTGCAGTGAATTTGATGCATAATACCGGCCTTATCTTACATTCTCATGTTCAAGGACAAAAAAACTTTCTGTGATTTTGAAGTTGTTTACTCTTAGACACATTGCCTGCTGACTATTAATAATGTTTGCTAAAGCAAGCACCACTTTTGCTGTTGCTTATACATGAAGTTAAGGGTTTTTCAAAATTATAGATGTGAATGTTACCCCAAATGAAGTGGCTTAAAGAGATGTGCTTTCCTGCATTAATAGACTTCACTTGGTGGATTATAAAACAATCTCATACTTACACTGGAGGGACCTGAGCCATATCTTGGAACCAGAATATCATAGACACTGAGGTCTTTTGACTTGAACCCAAAACACTCAAGCAACCATATTCTACTGAGCTAAAAGACATAGACCACCTTAACAATTGCATAGCAATGTCATGCTAGCGTTTTGGTGCCGAGCACCCTTCTTGTTTTCTGAGATGTTTTAACGGTTGCTGCAGATGGTGTCTTGTAACAAAACATAAAATTGGAAGTAAACTACCATTCAAAAGTTTGGGATCCTTAACATTTTTCAAAATGAATACTTTTATTATACTGATGAAAAGTGACAGTTACAAAAGATTTATCTTTCTAATAAATTCTGTTCATTTAGATATTCATCAAAGAATCCTGAAAAATGTTTCCACAAAAATATAAAGCATCACAGCTATTTTACACATTGATTAAAAAAAAGAAATGATTAATGAGCACCAGATAAGCATATTAGAATGATTTCTGATGGATCATGTGACACTGAAGACTGGAGTAATGACTGGTGAAAATTCATCACATAAATAATTAATTTAATAAATAAATAATAAATAATTTTATTTAAAAAAATTATTGAAAGAGAAAACTGTAATTTTGAATTTTATTAATATTTCACAATGTGAGTGAGTTACTGTCCTGTATTTTGGATCAAATAAATGCAGCCTTGGTGAGTATCATAAAAATAATTGTAAAACCCCAAACTTTTGAATGGTTTATAATATAGTCTATAAAACAACTTGAATATTTAATTAACATTTGTCAAGTCTTTTGTATGTTTTCATTTGTATGTATGCAGGAAGCTCCAGTCTTACCCAATGGTTCTTATGATGGCAACCTCCTGGTGAAATCCTCAGGAAAACTCACCCTGCTTCAGAAGATGCTCAAAAAACTGAAAGATGAAGGGCACAGGGTTCTCATCTTCTCTCAGGTATAGTGCATGGTACTTATTTCCTCTTTTAGAGCTTAGAATACCCCGTGAATAACAAAAAAAACCTTAAATATGTGGCGGTCTTGCCTTTATTTCAGTGGAAGATTAATTAGATGGTAAACTGTGAATAGAAAATAAGAGCGGAGCTCATTCATCTTTTAAATGGAGTTGACAAATTAAAAGGCGGGGCCTATATTTATCTCCGCTTAATTTTTTAGTCCTTAGACTCTTTTCCCTCCCATTTTAAATTGCCTGTGGAATCTCTGCATCTATTAATTTGATGAATGGCACTGGTAAAGGGAGGGTGTCTCGACGAGACATTTTGCCACCCTTTTATTTCCCAAGTGCTTGAAAATAAACATACATATTAATGTTATGGCATGTTGTATGTCCTTTAAGCTTGATTAAAGAGGAGGGTTGTGTTTCTGTCCCCTCTTTTTGTTGTATTTTGCATAGATGGAATTAAGTATGAGCTGGCAAGCTGAGTTTGCTTAACATTTTGCTTAACGCTGCCATTTGTCCCTTTGTTGGATATCTCTGTTATCCTCCTGTTTGTGTCTTATCCTGCACTGTTGATCCCTCTCTCAGATGACAAAGATGCTAGATCTGCTAGAGGACTTCCTGGAGTTTGAGGGGTATAAATACGAGCGTATTGATGGGGGCATCACAGGGGGGCTGCGACAGGAAGCCATCGATCGCTTTAACGGTGAGGATGCCAGCAGTGAAGCTGCAGTGATGTCTGTGTGTGGGGGGGGATAGTGGATACTAAGGCATTCATACTGACTGTCTGTCACCCTGTGTGCAGCACCCGGGGCTCAGCAGTTCTGTTTTCTGCTGTCTACACGTGCTGGAGGATTGGGTATTAATCTGGCAACTGCAGACACTGTGATCATATATGACTCTGACTGGAACCCACATAATGATATTCAGGTAATGCAAACATCAGTGCTGGGAAAGCTACTTTGAACTGTGACTTATAATTTAAAGTAGTTAATGTACTCTTTTAAAAAGTATTTAGCTGGACTACAAGCTACTAACAAAAAGTAGCTACACTTCCCTAGTAAAAAAAGTAATATATTTAAAATAAATTTATTTCATACAAAGTATAGTTCAAATCTATTAACATATTTACTAACATATCACTTGAGACTTACTGATATAAAAATTATAATTAAACTTTTTTGGAGTACTACTTGTGCACAATGCACATTTCTTAATATTAAGTCTAAAATGTGTTTTAATGTCACTATATTGATGAGGACTGTATGATCTTTGAATAATATCGGTCTTTAAATGCAATATATTTAAAGTGTATTTAAAGTGTAAAGTGTATCAAATATACTCGTCACTACTTCCGCACAATTAAAGTGCATGAAGTACAAAATTAGTTGTTAGTTGTACAAAAAAAGTTTAATATACCAAAAGTGCAATTGCAGGTTATTTTTATTAAGTACATAAATATGTAAATGTTTTTGTAGTATACTTAGCATGAAATAAATGTATTTCAAATCCATTTTAGTAAATTTATTTTTCACTAGGATGAAGCTGGTTAAAGGGGTCATCGGATGCTACATGCACTTTTACAAGTTGTTTGAACTGAAATGTGTGTTGGCAGTGTGTTTACACAACCACCCTATAATGATAAATGCACCCAGTGTTTTTTTTTTTAATCTACTAAAATCTTTACCCCTTTCTCAAATCGAGCCGATCTCAGATGC